GAAGAGCTGGAGCTGCTGCAGAGGGTTGGCAGCTGTCTCCTGGGATGCCAACAGCTTCTGGGAGCCGCAGTCGCTCTCCTTGGGCAGACTCAGCATATTGAACAGCAGCACTTTTTGCTTGCTGGCTTTGTCATCAGGTCCAGGGGTTGGATGGGTTGTGGGGCTCTTCCTCTCCTCTGTTTCTTCCACCAGCGCAGCCCCACCACCATCCCTTTTTTGGTCCATGGTGCTTTTCGCCACTTTGGGTGACTTGGGCTTGCTTAAGGGTCTTTCTTCTGTGTGTGGGACCTCTTTGACGTGAGGCGAAAAGGCGAGGTCCGAGGCTGTTTTGAAAGCCAAATTCAGGTTTGCGGTTTGGAAAATGAGCATCAAACTTCTCCAGCTCTGCAGCATCACTGAAGCTCTCATCTGCTTTCGCCGGCACAGGGAAGCTCTCGGCACTGCGCTGGCATGGCAGGGATTGCAGGGGATCTTTGGCAGCTTCGGCTGTCTCCAGGGTCTTGGGGAACCCGGTGTCAGTGACAACAGGAGGGCTTTTTGTCATGGGCTCTGTGTAGATGGGAGCTTCTATTTGGTCTGGTGTGCATGAGCCAGGTAGACTTTGGGAGGAAGACCCATTTTCCATCTTTCCAGGGTCGCCTTCCTCAGCGGCCGCAGCTCCCTGGAGTTGCTGACCACTTTCTTTGGTGCAGAAACGGCCAACAGTGAGTGGGGCTGGTGTACACATCCCCGCCTGCAGCGAGCCCAGCTCCACCGGGCAGGGCCAGGGCTCTCCGGGTCTCTCGTAGTCCACACGAACACTTGCAATGGCTGCCTTCTCACCTCCTAGCCTTTCCCCAACGCAGAGGCTTGAGCCATCCAGCTCGTCTGCCAAAACCAGTCCTTTCCCATGGCGTGTCTCCTGCTTGCCCGGCAGGGACGGGAACTGCTCGGCTGCCCGTCCTCGCAGGTGGGCACCGACGTGGTGCTCGGCCTTCTGAAGGGCGACGGGTCCCTCGTTATCCAGCTTGCTGGTTTGCAGTTGACTTTCCAGTTCCGTGACCAATCGCTTGATCTCCAGCTCATCGTCTGATACGTTGTTCATAAAAGCCACGTTATAATCCGTTATCCTGTCCGGCAGCGGCAGGGCGAGCTGGGGACCGGGGGCAAGGTGGTAATTTCTTGGCCAGTGTCTTCTCCACTGAAAGGCTGTGGAACTGAGTCATGTCTTCTGGCAGCATCGGAGCCACCTCCTCCATGAGGGACCAGTCTTTCTCTGGCATGAACGGTGGGTACGGTTGCTCAAACGGCAGTGGCTTGCTGGGGGGGTTGCCAGCACAGGCAAACGTTGTCACGTAACCATCCTTGCTTGCAGAAACGCTCTCGTACAGCGGCGGATCGAACTCAGTAACGGGAAGCTCTCCAAATATCGAAGAGGAATCAAAGCTGAGAGGGGAGGAGACCTTGCCCTGCGGTGTTTCTGCGGCATACGGGGAGATGCTGGTGTGTTTCTGCTCGAAGGAGCCGGTGTTGATGTCATCCCGACATAAGTACATATCGTCCATGTGTGAGGAGCCCAAGGCTGGGGGTTTTGAGAAGAGGTTATCATCGTAGTGACCAGGAAGGCTTTTGGGGTCGAAAAAGGCGTTGTCGCTGCTGACGTATGGATCGGGCACCTTGGCACTGAGCATCACCCCCACTGCATCACCCTCATATGGGGCAGCTGGCGCGGGATAGTCCTTCTGACCGTCACAAAGCCCGTGTGCCTTCAAGTATTTGACGCCCGCTTCCGAGTAGGCGGCACTCACGTTGCCAGGACTAGCTTCGTTACCACCGTGGGACGGAGCAATTAGCTCTTCTGCATGGTACTTCAGCCCATCGCTCATGAAAGGGGCAAACTGATGCCTCTGGTTGTCCACGGTGAGCTCGGATGAGTCCTGAGCTTCCAGGGTGGGTTCTCCTGCCTCACTCGTGTGCTTTGCAGCTCTTTCGGGCTCTTCTGCCTGCTCCTCACAGGAGAGATTGACGGGGCTCCTACCCAAGATGGCCATGCCGGGCAGTTGCCTTTCCTGGGGCTGCAGTAACGGCTCCTCCTTTGCACAGTCCATCTCAGCAATATCTGTTTCAGCACTCGGATGCGTCCCAGAGCCTGCTAGCAGAGGTTTGGCTGAACCAAACTGCCTGTTCCTGTTGGGAAAGTCCTCTTTGCTCTTCTGGCTCTTCTTTGGGCTCCTGTCCTCGGGAAGGCTGAGTGGAGTCCTTGGTGTGCGTGCCGGGCTGTCTGAGCTTCTCCTCCTCCTCTGCGTTCCTCCCTTCTCACTGCCCGAGCCGGCCCCATCAGCACTGGGTGGACTGGTGCCCAGCTCACCGGGCATCCTACTGCTCTGGTTGCTGCCAGTAGAGGACTGCCTGCTCCGTCTTCGGACTCTGGAAGCACAATCCTCTTTCTCAGCGTCCTCCTGGCTCAGGACCCCTCCGTGATCCTGCGTCTCCCTTTTCTGACCGTCCCTTTTCCGGCTGTAGCTCCAGCACGGGTCTTTGTCTTTGCTTCTCTCACTCCTTCCTGGGCGTTTCTTGCTGAAGCTGTATTTGTCCCCCCCGACGCATCCAGTGCCACGCTTCTTCCTCCCCCAGAGCTTGCTGCACTCCACCCCATCATCATCGGAGTCGGAGACGTAGTCGTACTCCCGAAACCTGCCCTCCTTGGCAGCTGGCATCAGCCTCTCAGCGACCTCGTGGAGCTGCTCCTGTTTGCTGCTCTTCACCTGCAGTTTGTGGAGCTTGTTCTTCTGCTGCACAATCTTGTGAATGAGCTCCTTGCTCCACGTCCCGCTTCGGGGCTTCCGCTTCTTCATCTCCTTCATGGAGAACCGAGGTGGCTTGGAGCTCTTGGTGGCAATGCCTGGTCCCACCTCGCTCTTTGTCGGAGGTTCCTGGCTGAGCTTCCTGGAATGTTTTTGGCTGGAGGTGGACTTGGAGGAGGCAGTGTTTTCCTGCCTGCCCGCAGCCTGGCCGTCCTCTGCGCTCCCGCTGCCCCGGGATCCAGCTCCTGGGCTGCCAACCTCCTCACCGCCCTCCCCTTGTGAAGGTGCTGCTTTCCTGACCCTCTCTTCGCCTGCTCCCCACCCTGGTGGCCATCTTCATGAAAACAACAGCCTTTGGGCTGGCCTGATGCCTTCTCCTCTGCTGCTGCCTGCTTCGATTTGCTCTCGGAGGCCAGGGCTTCCTTCGCCTTGTGGGACATCCCACCACCAGCCGCCTTCATGCCCGTCAGCTCCTCATCGGCAAACACGTCTATAAAGCTGCTGTCGATCTCCGGGTTGTCTGACTGGTACCCCAGGCCGTTGAGGGCTTCGGTGATCAGGCTGTCCAGCTTGGCGTCATCGATGTCCAGGTCCGAGGCGGTGAGTGGCAGGGAGCTGGCGGCGAGCCCGTTGAAGATGCCACCCTTCAGAGCATCTTCTTTGCCCTCGCTTTTGCTTTCCCCATCCAGCAAGAAGTCATCGCTTTTGTTTAACAACAAGAAATGTTGTTGGGGGTCTGGGGAAAGCATCAGGCTGGGGGGTTTGGGGGGCTCCGGGGGGAGCACTTTCCG